GCAATAAAATGCATGTAAAATGTTATCCTACTCTGGGAGGGGGAAAATCACCTAGAAAGCTTGGTAATGCAAATGGTCACCTTAAGAGGGGGGAAAATCTCCTGTGATGAGCTTCAGTCATAATATATGGCATGAGCTTAGTTGAAATCTGCAAAAGGAGTATCTGTTTTCATGCTAAAATTGGATTTGCACAGCCATATTTTCCAGGTGACGACCCCAGCTATAAAAGGCATTTTCATTCATCTGTTGGATTTTCTTCCTTCTTGCTTTTTCAGCATTACAAACAGCCGTAGTTCAATAACAGAAAAACATCAAGTTATATTCTTATTACCTTGCTTGTCTAAATTGGACTAGGCTTTTGTTCCCTTAACCCATCATATTTTAGCACTTCTTACACCTCAGTGGCTTTCTTCTTTTTAAAGGTCCGTCAAAATACTGCAGAAAGTTGGTGAGTGATCAGTTTTCAAATGTGACCTAGCCAGTGAATGTAGATAGCAGCTTCGTGTTTGTTCGAAAGCATGGTTATTGTGCCTTGATTTTTGCCAGTCTTTGTGGAATAATGTTGTCTTTCATCGTTTCCAGGAGACAGCTTTTGAACCTTTTCCCCGCTTTCTGTACTGATATTATTGTAGCATAAAGTCCTGAAATCATGAACATTTAAATACATGTCGGCATGTTCATTTAAATGAATGTCTGTCTTCAAAGGTCATTTAGAATACATCTGTAACTCACAAAAGTTTAGTAGGAAACATACTTTTCTTTGCTACTCTGCCTATCAATTTTTCTCTCTCTTTTGGACTGGAGTTTATTTTTGAGATACAAGTAAGTTGACTGTTACAAAGAACTATTTGGCTTCCTCCCTCACTATACCTGTGCTATTATTTGCATGTTTGAGATTGGCCTCCAGGGTAGCACACCTGCCCTGGAATATACCATATTTTTCGCACCATAAGACACACTTTTCCCCCACAAAATGGGGGTGGAAAGTCTGTGCGTCTTATGGAGCAAAGAAAACAGATTATATTTTCCTGTTTTCTTCTAAAAAATTGGTGCGTCTTATGGAAAGGTGCGTCTTATGGAGCGAAAAATACGGTATATAACGTGTGATAGATATGTGGCCTAAACACAGCAGTTCTGTTTGCCTGATTTCTGTTAGCTGAACAAGAAATGCCATGAAATAATGCTTTCAAAATATCTGAAAGTGAACTATCTGTGTTTGATGTCTAATTCTTTCTGGGATAGGAAGACTCTCTTGATCCTCTCCAATATGTATATTTCACTTCTAATGTCCAACATATTGGGAACCAATTTATTTTTCTTTCGGGGACATCACTTTCTTTCACGTTTTTTGGGCATGTATATATACAGGGTAATATAAAGAAGACCTGAATTCATGAAAAAAGAGAATGGGAAAGTGAGAAAGGAAATTAAAATGCTGGTAGTCATTGCAAAATGATTCCTGTGATGCTATTTTTCCTAGACTGAAAGTTTCATTAAACCATTAATTTGAAAAAAATGAGGTTGTCAAGTGCTTGGTAGGAAACTTCACAAAATAAATTCCACAAATATTAAACTTCCAGAATACTGGCTTTAAAATATTCATTTCCTTATAACTGGGGGGGTGGGGAGAGAGGATTTTTATGGCATTTCACATTTTGTCTGCAAAGCACATTTGAACCCACAAGCAACTTTAAATATGTTTATTAGTAACCTGGCCTTTTTTCACCAGATTACTCACAAACATCTTCAACCCTACCCATAAAACCTACTCATAAGTTCAAACACAGGTTGTAGGGGAAAATATGACATGTCATAGAAATGCTCCCCCTAGTTATAACTCTCAACGCTGCTTAGACAGTATGAAGTTGTTTTTACATTTGTTTGGTATCAGAACTTGCATGTTATCTCCGTTACAAGCTCCAAACCCACACTGATTTTTCACAAAAATAGACCAACTTACAAAACACATCTTAGAAGAGCCACTTAGCTGAACAAACTGAGAGCAAGAGTTTTTATGGGAATATTGGATGGGAATGCAGGAGACCCAGTGCCTTGTGCCCACTGGACTATGGATCTCACTGGATAAGCTTGGACTTCTCACGCTCTCTCAGCCCGACCCTGTTCCATAGGGGAGCAGATGAGGAGAATGCCTTGTCTGCCTTGAGATCATTTAGGGCAGGCAGGGTATAAATGGAATTAATGATAAATACATCCTATTAATAGTAAAATTACTAAAGGCAAACACAAAAAAATGCAGAAAGCTAGAATACTTGGGTTTTGTAATTATTTATTTATTTATTTATTTATTTAATTTATATGCCTCCCACACTACCCAAAGGTCTCTGGGTGGCTTACAGCATCCAAAATACAACAAAGATATGCAACAATTAAAATACAATTAAAATATATATAAAATTGCCATCGGACCCACAGCTAATATTATTTCAGTTAAAAGCTTTCTGGAACAGGAAGGTTTTGACCTGGCGCCGAAATGTCATCAGTGTCGGCGCCAGACGAATCTCAGTCGGGAGGGCATTCCATAGTCTGGGGGCAGCTGCCGAAAAGGCCCTTTGTCTACAAGCCGTCCCTCTTACCTCCTTGAGGGACGGCTCTTTCAAAAGGGCCCCCTGGCTAGATCTTAACTGCC